AGGTTCTGTTCCCCCCCCCCCCCGCAACAGATACAAAAAGGCAAAGTCTTTGTATGTAGGAGATACGTCTTTGCTGCAGCCTAAGCAAAGCTGTGGTTTAATCCCACTAACTAAATAACTTACGTATCTGACACAAGTCTTCATATATCACACTTAATCCATCCATCCATACATGTTCCAACTACTTATTGAGGACCGAGTCATGGAATGACCTAATTTTATAACTTTAAGTAGGAACACTTAAGATTAAACACCTTGATTGAAAAAACTGCACAGACTTTGGACTACAACAAGTAACCTAAGGGTAGGAGTTTTTAACTGGTATGGTATCCAATTTCATTTTACAAGAAAGGCACAAAAAACTCACAAATAGACACACATAGGCTGGAAGTACAGCTTGGAGAGTTTAAGGCTTTTTTGTCCAAGCATCTCTTCCTGATTACAGCACATTCAATCTAGCTTTTATATGCAAAGACACTGCAATGGAAACCAAAAAGTGTGTGTGTGTGTGTGTGCGAGCGGATTTACCTATCCTTATGGGGACACAATGTCCCCATAACGTGATAAATATCAGTTTTTTTTCCCTTATGGGGACCGGTTTCCTGGTCCCCATAAGGGAAAACTCTATTTTATAAAAATCAGTGACTGCTATGAAAAAACTTAAAACGCAAAAACTCTTGTATTTTGTTAGGTTACTTATGGTTATGGTTAGGGCTGGGTAGGGGTTAAGGTTGTCATAGTTAGCGTTAGCATTTTTCCCATTGAAATGAATGAGCGGTCCCCATAAGGATATGTTTACCCTACATCTGCGTGCGAGCGGGTGTGTATGTGTGTGTTGGGGGTGGGGTGGGGGGGGAGGGGGGATGCTGTCTACAGATGAACATCATGAAGAAACACCTGAAGAGATAATGGAGGCATGGAAGAGTGGACAACAGAGGAGCTACCTACACAGAATGAAGTTATCTCAACCCTTCAACAACCTTCATAGCAATCTGATACAGATAATTCTGAGATTGGAAAAGATCACGGACAGGTGACAGTCTTACACGAGTGAGTGTGTCAACTTTAACACCAACACCTCCCCCTAACATGCACACTGCAACTGTCGTTAGCTGTGCTCCTGTTACACGTCATGGCTACTAGGCTGTTTAAGATGTGGAAGTAACATTGCAAACACGGCAGCTTGGATTGACATGTCGCCTTCTACAAAACGGCCTGAAGGCAGACACTTGAGGTCCAGAGAGCTCTGCTAAAGACAAGATACAAACTGGGTCATTCGTGCAATCATAAATACTCCAAGTATTAAAGAATAACCACAGTGTTTTTACTCTTCCATTACTGGGCTTCTTTGAATTAAGTTCGCGCTTTACTGAAAGATCTTTGATATTTCAGCCATTGGACAGAATCCATCAATCCATCTATCTACTACCACAAAGGTCAGAGAATGGGGCAAAATTTAAAAAAAAAAGAAAAAAAAATATATGTAAGAATAAATAATTTGAACTTTACAAAGAACAACGAACACTGGAACTATGAAACAGGAAACAGACACACCATAACCTACAGAAACACAGAATCCCAGGGTCTCATTTACCAAGGGTGTCTACGTACAGAGAGAAGCCAAAATGTGCATTCGTATTTTTCTTTAGTGAAATTTATGCAAAGTTTGGTAAATGAGACCTCCAGCCTTTTGCCTATCAGACGTTTCGTTATCACAGTTTGGTTTTCAAATAGTACTGATGGGACTGTGGCCGCGAACAGCTTGGTGCACATGCGAGACTGTGTGGTGGGACTGATGCAGCGTGCAGAACAGGAAACACCAATGACAGGTTTGTAGCTCGAAGGAGAGTCAGACAAGCGGCAAATGGAATCCAGGATATCAAGGTAGACTTGGAATCGGATCCAGAGGCCGAAACCAGCACAACACAACACAGCACAACACAATACAACAGCTAAATCCTGTGAACCTATTCCCCAAAATGTATAATTACTGAGTGAAATTATCTAGAGTTAGGCCTGGCTGGTGAAAATATAACAGATTTTTCGGTTTACGTAAAACAATAATATTAACAATACTGACACATTGTGACTGAGAAATTTTGTAAATGAAATATAAGTACATGAATTTAAATTACTGTGGCACATTCTATTTCTGAACATAAATTACAAGTTCATAATGAAGTACGCATAACAACTGTGATTTCTTTCCTCCGATGACATAACTTTCCCATTTCCCTAGTTTTTTTTTCCTTTAAAACAGCATATATGTAATTTCTTAATTTTTTAACCGGGGTGGGCTACTGGCCTGCTTTATAAATAATACCCTAAGAGTAAACAGCACTACGGTGACCTCAGCAGAAACAGCCGCTGACAGAGGAGCCGTTTCAGGACCCGAAGCGCCAGGGGTCAGAGTTATAAACAAGCTCATTCCGATGCCAGGAACGATAACAAAGTTTTGGCAGTGGACGTAATTAATGAAAGTCTTCAAAGAACAAGACTTCGTGCGAGTCACGAGGATCGAAAACAAATATAATTCAGAGAGGAGGGGAGAAATAATAATAATTTGAACGATGTGGTGAAAAATTCCTCACCAGCTTATTTATGGCCGGATGTGACCTCCACAGCTGCATCTGTTTTCAGTTTGAAGAAGAGGGCGAAGGTCACGTGTCCTTGGCTTTAAATGGCCTGGGCAGTTCCTGGGACGTGCAATTCGATAGCTTTCAGATACCTTTTGTGGAGATCGTGTCTCCCTCAGTCGAAACCCTACCTGCTGTAGGTGGGGGGGCTGAAAATGACCCCGAAGGTGACGGCGCTTTGCGGTGCCATGTCATTCTTCTGCGATTCACTTGGGCGGCAAGAGCAACATGTAAATTATAATAATGTCGCCTACAGTTTGTTGATACTCCTGGATGTTTTTTAAGGCGGAGAGTCTTCTTCTAAGGCAAAGGATTAGTAATCTTACTGGTGCCCATGTCTTCACCACCAGCCAAAGTGGTAACATGCCAATATTGTTTTATTTCTTTCCCATTAAAAACAATGAGAGTTTTTGAAAAGGGACACTGAACAAAGTCACATGAGATGAATGCTGTTTTCACGTCAGCTAGCTCCTTTAAGTCGCTGTATTTTTAGCAATGGTAGATGTTCTGAGACTGAGCCTTATAAGTCCTTATTCCACGGATGTAAGTCAGACCTACAGTTTGGACCATGACAGATTGGTTTGCCCAGTCAGCAGTAAGCTTACGCTAATAAGGTATAACAAAAAAAAATTGTTTCCTTGATGAAAAATACCAAAAGTCTTTAAAGAATAATAATTTTTGGGATCCTGAAGAATAATTCTTTTGCACGTAGCATATTGCCTATATAATATAAATATAAAAATTTTGTTTTTCATTGTGATTTTGTGTCTGGAGAAAAACAGCATAGCTAATTACTGAGACAAAGAAATTTATTTCAAGATCTTTTGTACTGTTATTCACCGCTTCATAGGGCCTGTTGCTCACTCATGGGGAGAAAAGTACTGGATGTTTACACCTGCTAGGCCTCAGTCAAAGCCTGGGGCTGGCCCACTCGCTCCACCCCTCATCCACCCACTTTTCGAGGGCACAATCAGGCTGTTACAGGGATCAATGGCCCTCCCAGCTGGGGCTCCATCCACATTAAGTCAGGAGCTGATTGTGTTGGGGAGCCAATTCTAAAAACATGCTCGACTGCCCCAGCTCTGAGAGGGAGGGTTACGAGTCCCAAAAGTACTGCTGGATGCTTTGGGATTTCAGGACTTTTCCAGAAAATGTGAAAGATTTGACCCAAAGTTTGCACCCTATATTTTTAGCCATGAACATATAATCTAGGTAAACAATCACAGGTATTTACTCTACATATGCTGCTTCATACTAGAGTATTGTAAATATTTAATATTATATTTTTTATGTGTAAATAAGGTAGTTCAAAGAATAAATATATTTATTGTTCTGCGATAAGTTTGATAAACTGTAGACAGGCCGTGATGTTTTGAAGAGAGAAAAACATTAAAATGGAAAGTCTCTGAATCATCAGGAACAGAATGAGAAGTTTTATGTATTTTATATAGAAAATTAAAGAAATATACTATACAGTGTGGTAGTATAGGCAGTCCCCAGGATACAAACAAATCCATTGCCCAAGTCTATCTCTAAGTTGAATTTGTCAGAACAGGTACATATGGTTGTTGTTTAGCTTCACTTACTCGGATGTTTGTCTTGGTATATATCAGGGGTCACCAACCGTTTTGAAACTGAGAGCTGCTTCACGGGTACTGAGCCATACGAAGGGCTGCCAGTTTCATACACTCTTCTTACATAACAAATCTGCTCAGTATAATAAACATGTTTAAAATGCTTTTTTAGATATTGTCATTTTCAAATCTATTTAAATGCAAATGTGAATAAAGAAGAATAGCAACAGGATAAAATAAAATTTGAGTTGTGCTAATTTGTAGCACAGGTCCGTGGGCGACTCATGTGGTCCTTGGGGGCACCCTGGTGCCCCCTGGTATATAGTATACATTTACTGTACTGTATCTCGAGCCGAAGCCACGCAATGTTTTCATGAGCATTACAAAGTAGCGCTTGCGTTCGTTATTACAAACCATTGTATTCAGCTCAAATTTGTAATACAACAGGCACCATGGAAGTCTGTCAGTAAGTAGGAGTTGTCCGTAAGTCAGACGTCCTTAACCCAGGGGCTGCCTGTACTCGAGTCCGTTCACATTTTCACCTACTCAGCCACGCCACAGTGCGCTGAACCCAAAGAACTCAGCAGAATCTCGCCTAGGGCGTCAGAACACCCACATTATCCAAACGCACAAATGGTTTCCCCCCTCCCGTGACCCCCGCTCAAGCAAATCATATTGTCCACAGCAAATATTATCATCATGATCCCCTCCCCTCCCCCCCAAGTGTGGGTGTGCAGGCTTAAAGCACCACAGGATCCCAATTACAGTATGTGCCCGTTATGTTTTACATTTCAAATACTAATGTTAGAGATTAAAGCATCATACGTATTTAAAATTTGACTTTTAATTATTAGCAGGGGTGATGATGATCGTAAATAATAATAGTTAAAGCAATGGTCTCAGAAATGGGCTTGATTTTTTGGAGTTTTGGTATTGACTTGTCTCCACCACCAAAGGTTTGGCCTTGACTTGGACTTCATCCTTCAAGGTCTGGGTCGTGAATGGGACTCGATACAGCTGGTCTTGTCCCCATCACTAATGCTATATACTGTAGAACAAATAATGAAATAAATTAGTTAACATGTCATCAAGATGCAGGTGCACACACAGCCTGCAGACGCTGGCAGACGTTGATGTTCTGTAGTTTATCCTACCCCAGATGTGGCCTCCAGTCACAGAGACAGAAATACACAGGCCTTCCTTATGCGTCTGCACCAGCGTTAACAATCCGGTTAGCACCTGGCAAACGGGAAAAAATGCAGACAACGAAAACATGGGGGTTACGTGTTTACATTGGAGATCAACAGAAGTTTCGCTTTCTGTCGGTCAGAAGAGGCTCAATCGCGTCCACTGGCTTGAATGGCAAGCAGGGGGGCGCGGGTTTGTCTTGGAAATGTAAAATAAACCGTCCCAGCTTGCATACGAAGCTCATCATTTATTGACTCCTAACAGGCGAGCTGCACAATTAGCGTCATTAGCGCGACACAGGCAGGCCGGAGCTCGTCAATAAGCGACACCGTCGGTAACGCTGCCCTTTCTGTTCCGCTGGCTTTAACGAGCTGTTCCTTTCATGAGAACGCTACCGCCACAGAGTGAGAGCTCTCCCTTTGTTCTTTCCCCTTGTTCTTGTTTATTTATTTCATTCCTCCTCTCTCGCCTTCACTCTCCCTGTCTCTCTCTCTAGCACCACCGCCCCCCCCCCCCCCCCCCCCCCCCCCCCCCCCCCCCACCCCCATTTGCACCGTGGGAATATTCTGAGAAAACTTTGGGAAAATCCAAGATGTAAACTACTGACAAATCTGCGCAGACTTTGTGGGCTAACGGATCCCACACGTCCGGTTCCGCGATGCTCGCGCTCACTGCTAAGAACAGCTACTGATTAATATAAACAATGCTGTTGATTATAGTCATTATTTTGATTTGATTGTGTGTTCATAACCGGATGTAATTAGATTCACTGTGACAGAATCGCAGGGCCCCATGTTCCACTGGGATTCCATTTACTGTTTGAATCACGAGGCTGGAGTATGTTTGCAACAATAAAAAAGTGTGGGAACGTCTTAGCATTTAAGATTAGCATTTACAATTTACAAGGGGTTGGCGCCATAGATCAGAGGTTATGGCTGTCACCTAAAGCTTCCATCGCCCCCACTGTGTTTGTGTGTGTGTGTGTCTTCCTCTGGGTGTTCCAGTTCCACCCCGAGTCCAAGAACGTGCAGCCGGGTGAGCAGGGGTTGCTAAATTGCTGGATTGTCAGTTGCCGTACTGTAGGCTGGTGTGACGTGTGGCTCCCCTGCCTACTGCTCCACACTGCGTGGGATGGGCTGCGGGCCCCCCCGTGAGCCTGCGCTGCATCAGCAGCTAATAACACAGCTACCTATCTTCTTCCTTGTCTTCCACTTCAGCTACTCCTGTAGCCACTTTACTGGGTAGCAGAGTATCAGGCTCCTTAGATGAATGTCATATAAAAGAGAAGTGTGGCCTTGGTACCTGAGATGGTACCTGAGAGTTCTCATCAAACTTCTGCAGAGGGATAACAGTGTTTTGGAAAAGAAATGGATGCACAATAAAGTTAACAGTAATAGTATGTAAAGTTTATACTAGTATATACAGTATATACTAGTAATAGTGTATGTAGTATGTACTATATATACTAGTAATAGTATATACAATTGATTATTATAATTCAACCATCCAGGGGAATACTTTGAATATACAGAACTAGCTGACTGAACTCTATATTTCTTCACAATAAAACTGTGTGCGATTCCATTATTTGTCATGAAAAGGATTACAGATAGGGCACGAACAAAAGAACCCGGTCTTTTCCGTGTTCTGTGTCATTGACGTGTTACACAATGGTCAGAATGCAATCAGATGCTTCTCCATGCGTTCCTACAGCACCAGCACTCGAGACAGTGCCGTTTAGTGTCACGGGAAGCGTGGGCGAGGCTGCGGGGGCGGCTTGCACTTCCTGTCAAACTCCCATAAGTGTTCTGCTGCCCTTTCAGATGGGGAGTCTTCAAAGTCTGATCAAGGAAATTGATCTTAATTCATAGTTTCAATTATGTCCCACCCATAGAGGCCACACAGACAAAATGGGGGCAGCTGTAAGAACAGAGGGAAGAAGGATAGCAGGGAAGGATAGATGTTATCTCAGCTGGACAGCAGTGTCTCCCTTGTCCAATGACATACTGATGCTGAAAGTTTATTACTGGGGTTTATTACCACGTGCATGAGAAAAGGAACTTTCAAAATGTCTGATCAAACACAATACACATTTAGTGCCCGGAATCCGGAGACAAGCCGGACTCATCCCCCCCCACCCACCCCAACCAACCCCCTCGTCCTTTGGGGTGTGGGTGTGGGGGGGGGGGGGGGGGGGGGGGGGGGGGGGAGGGGGCAGGGAGAGTATTTGCATAACAGCAAAGGACAATCAGCAGCAGGCTGGGCTTTGTCTGGACTATCAGGAGGGTCGAAGCCTGGCCTGAGAGGCAGTGTGTCAGACGGTCTTTGGGCTTGAATTTGCTAGTGACAGCGGGTCGGGGAGAGAGGGTAAGGGTTAAGGCCAGAACAGCGCGAGTCGCCCAGCGGCTGTACCCCGGGAAAGGAGATGATCATCCAGAGTTAATGTTACTATCGAGCCTCTCACGGCATCAGGATAAATCAGGTGCAAAAAAAAATGTTACATTCCCCAGAGAAAACAGAAGTAGCCGCATAAAGAAACAAACAAATACATACATTATCTATACATATATTTTCGTACAATATACGTGACTTGGGACTGTATATGTAACTGTGTGCACAAGAAATTCCCCCTGGGATCAATAAACTTGACTTATCTTTTCTTAGAACTACAAAAATGTATATACTAAGTTGTGAGTATCGTTCAAAGAAAGTTGTCATTAATTATGACTTAATGAATTCTTTCTTCCAAATTATCTTTAAATTCACGTCCAAACACTAAGTTGCAGGGAACGTGAAAGGACAGAAAAGTCAGTGCAATGAAAGGGACCTCTGTCTCCCTGCAGCTCGTTAAATTAACATGCAACGCACTGCGTGCTGTGACGTCACAGTAGGCCAAGCCCAAAGATCCCTCCTCTTTCCAGTTGATCACAACATTAAGAAGCTTCTTGTGTCTAACTTTGGGTCGTTCATTTGAAGGAAATGCTTACATCTTGCATTATGCACATGGATTAATTTGTTGCATTGCAAAGAATTTGCAGACAGATAGAATAAAGACCATGTATAAAGTTGTATAAAGACCATGTTAAAGAACACTTTAGCTGTGAGGTACTTTATTCAGCCGTATGTGGAAACAGAGTCACTTCCGTGTATCCCATCATGCTCTGAGAGACAGACATACACTTTTGGAGTCAGAGCACAGGGTTAGCCGTCACCCGGAAGTCAGGGTTAAGGGCCTTGCCGAAGGGTGATTACTCTACACAGACAGCACAGGATTCACACCAATAACCTTCTGGACAGAGACACAGATCCTTGACCTGCTTTGCCACACAAGTTTATTCAGTGTGCAAAAGTTTATTTATTGTTACTTTAACTTCTCACCTGCAGAAATGGCTAAAGTATACCAGTGAGCCTGTGAAGGTGCCCCTTCCCCTTTAAGAGCCTCACATAAATACGAGTGAGTGGTAGCAGTGAGCTTTGCACCTTCCCTGCCATATGTTTCCTCCAGAACAAAGATACGTGTTTGCTAGAGCCCTGGATTCCCACAGCCAGACACTAAAGGGGCCTTCTGCCTGTTTCTGAGGCAGGTCAGTTAAATAGTCTGCTCCAACCACCCCCCCCCATCCCCCACCCCACCCTCAGCAGTGTTCCCTGCTGCCCTTGGTAACCTCCCAGCACTGGTCAGCGCATATCTCCATCCTCC